TAAATAAATAAATATTCTGAGATGGCTAACAAAGTATAAAAATCAGCAACTTCAGAGGTTTGCCCATATACTTAAGTATTTACATCTTAATTACTTCCAAAACTAATTATTATTATCGAATTATAACTAAATAATACATCTATTTACTTTATTTATTAATTCATAAAAAAAAATTATCTTACTATAAGTTCCTAAAAAAATCAGATGATAAATTCAAATTCAGAAATTATTATATAGAAAAGGTGTGCAGTGATGTATTTATATAACCTCATGCGTATTTTTTTCATTTCTTTATTTCTATTTTACTTATTTCTTAATCATCATTAATTTTAAAAATAACTGTTGTCATCGAATTAAATAATAAATTTGTTTATTGGGCTTAGTAGTTAACAAGAAAAAATTATCTTAATATATGTTCGAAAAATAATTATTATAATAGTCGATGTATGTACAGTGATACAATATAATACTTATTATATTTGTTCATGGGAACTACAGTGACGTACAGTTAAAATTTCATGGTTATTTAATTTGTTAATTACAACAAAAGTATTCTCATAATGTGAATTCGAGAAAAAGAAACAGATTAAACAAATATTAGTTATGAAAGTTGATGTATATATATTGTATCGGGGTAAAACCGTTTAATTATATTTTATTCGCGTAATTAAATCAAAAGGGCGAAAGTAATTATCTATGCTCAAAATGCGGTCCGGAGAGCATGCGAAGACAGGCGCCAGTCAACCAATAATTCTTAATAACCTATAATCAATTGAGTGGAAGCTGTAAGGTGTGAGCGAGTCGGAAAAACACTTGTTAATAATGCGGACTAAACCTTTTATTATTGCTCAAATACTACACAAAGTCGGCCCGCGCGTTTGTTTACATCGACGCTCGCTCATCGACAACGTACAATGTCGGGACGCTCGCTGCGCTTAGTCAATATCGCTATTACATGCACGCTTCGGAAACGATACTTTATTTGTTAACCATGCAACCGCGATCGCGAGATTAAGCTGGCCAGCTTACCTTATTATCGCAGGCGTACGGAGAAAGCGATAGATTCACACACTGCGCGGAATTGTTTTCGTTCGTTTGTCGCCGATCGCGAATGCGCGCACACACGGTTTCGCCCTCGACGGCGAAACCACACATACTCTGCCGGTCTCCTGGAGGTTTGCGCTTCCTCGCTGGCTCAGGTCTCTCCCCTGGGCTGCTGAAGGGCACCTTAACGATAGCGGTCACAGCTAGCAGGTACTGATCTGTACGTCCTTCTTTTAATGTGTTGGCGTTAACGGCACGTAGATCGTCGATAGCGAAATGAAAGCGGACGAACCCAATGATGGTCAGTGCTTCACTAGTTCGGTTTCAATCGCGCGCGTTCCGTCTGCTCGCGTATCGAATTCCTTCGTTACATATTTCGTCCCCCCGGTAGGTGCTGCCCTCAGATGCAGCAATTAAGTTAGATTATCAGCGCTAATTTGACGTTTACCGTCACAATATATATAATTGATGTTTGGTTAGAAACTACATATTCTCCAATTAAAACTAATGAATTAATTACGTAATTATATGTTTAACAGATGTATAGTTAGAAAAATATACATATAAAAGTATAAAAATCAATTATTCCGACAGCTGATTATCAATTATTATCGAAATATGATATCAATTCATGATTCAATAGATATAAAAAAAACTCATAATTTTGTCATATTCATTGACGACGCAGGAATATGTAATTAATAACAATAAAAACATGCGCCTCAAAGTACTTTTGATAAAATAACCTGCAGATACTCGGCTGCAGCCGTAGCATTTTCCTCTTTCAATTTAGCAACAAGTTCCTAAATGTTACCAATCTTCTTCTCGTGTCGTTTTGTCTTCTTACGTATACTGTCACACCTTCTTTTTTGAAGGATATGAAGCTTTAAAACTTTAATCCACGCCTCGTGAGATTTACAGTCTTCGATTGACAACGACTGTGGTTGAGATCCATCGAAAAAACGAATTTTTTTAGTGAGAGGAATGTGTGAAACGTCAATACGCGACGACTGGCTTCTAAAAAATATATAATTTTTTTTCGAGAAATAAGGTTTGTGATCTCTAAAAAAAGTCAAGGATAACAGTTAAAGTAAAAAGACGTATAGTTTACCTTTTTAAATTTGCACAAATTGAATTCGAGTTCAAATTGTTGGCAAAATCTTTAGCAGGACTAGACTCTACACCATTTAAACCATCAAGTAGAGTGTTTCTTAAAACAACAAGTACCGAGAGTGAATGTACGAATATTTAAAAATCATATTGATATTTACCTTTTGATATTACCACAACTTTTAAGTGACGCCGATGCTTTGAACCGTTTATTAGGAGAGATATCTGAAATATTAGTAAGAGGCAGCTGCCTGAAATGTAAAGCACATGCAGTATGCACTATGATAAGTATACATAGATGTGACAGTTAATATTGATTTTTTTTACGTCTACCTTTTTAACTCGGCATCATTTGTATTTGTCATGGAGACTTCAGAACCATCCTTCACAAAAGTTTCGTTGGATTCTTTTATTTTTTCCTTACTTGATACATTTACACTGTCATTGATACTTGAATGGTAATTTTCAGAATCATTTCCACAATCTTCATGAAAAGAATCAGTACTCGTATCCACAGACAGAGATGAATCAACTATTTCACAGCCAAGAGGTTCACCAACTTTCATAATGTTATTGCTGACTGTATCATTACAATTGCCTGGTAGATTAGCACTATTTGTAGAAAGTGAATCAACAATTGCATTAATAACAGCACTATACTATCAGATTGTTCAATTTGTACATCCACTTACTTTGACGATTTTGTACTGGTAACAGTAGCAACTGATAACAAGGAACTGCAGTACTGACTAGTCGTCTTATGGTTGTATATCCATCTGAGTTAACAAAGACATCTTTACTAAAATGATCACTGCAAAGTTTTGTATATTTGGTTACAGATGATACTCCAGTTATATCCTTCCATTTCTGTTTGAGTACATTATCGTTAGGAAATCTGTAATAATATAACATATTTTTTAACTAAAATTACCAAAATGTTTCAGTATTTTAATGCACTTTGTTCATCAAAATATTTTTTATTAATTAGATACTTATATTAACCGACAACTCGTATAAAACTTACTTGTGGAAACTACGTGTTATGTCTCCAGGTATTGGTTCTTTTTTACACAAACAACAGTTAAAACCCATGTTTAATAAACATTCCGCTCAACAATTTAAACTTTAGTTCGCACTTTTGCAGTTACTACAATAACATTAAGATATAGGTTAAGACTGACGGTGATCCGGTGACAGCTGTTAGGGTCTGTCTCCATCAGGCCTCCACGAGCACGCACGAGCACGCACGAGCACGTCCGAACACGTCCGAGCCGGCCGAGATTTTTTATGGGCACGCCATCTCTATAATTTCGTATCCAATGGCGAGTTTCATAGTGAATGGCTGCGTCTACATAAACGAGCCCGATCGGACGCAGCCAATACGAGAAACGCATGAACACGAAATTATAGAGATGGCGTGCCCATAAAAAATCTCGGCCGGCTCGGACGTGCTCGTGCGTGCTCGTGGAAGCCTGATGGGGACAGACCCTTATGCCGTAGTCACGCATGCGCAGTACGCCATCGAAGAGAAAGATAGCAATGTAAACCCTATCGTCTCTCTCTTTCACTCCAGCGGAAATTCCCACTTACAGGCATGCCTACTCTATCTGTATAAGCTCTTTGCTCCTTGGACGGGGTAGCGGTATGGGGTAGCATGTAGACAGCCCCTGAAAGACGTCATTATTTTCAATAGGAAGAAAATGAAAGCTCATGACTGAGTACTTTAAAAAGATTCATAATAACATCTTTATTAGAATGACTTATACGCTGACGAAGAAAATATTCAATTTTTACATTAAAATACTGGGTGGTTCCTCAATCGCCTAAATTATTTTAAATATTCTATTTCATAAGAAAATGATTGCATTTCATTAAAATTTAACTACCTTTAATAATTACCAATAGAATATTTTTAGTAAGGTAGAGTTACAATGATGTTTGTTTAATGTTTTATATTTGCTAAAATGTTGCAGCAAACGCCTTGTTCAACATTGAAAAACAGTCTTAGCGAGATTGAGTCAATATTTCACTAACATGCTATATAATTTCGGAGAAATGTTGCACTAAGGCTGCTTCATAAAATGAAAAATTTTCAACTATCATTTTTTCCGGTAACATTATTCTGGAAAGAAAGGTTATGGCAGCATTTCTACAATATTTTTATTGGTTGCCAAAAATAAAAATGTAACATTTTTTAAACAATTCTGCTACTTGGGCTTATCTTGATAAATTTTTTTATTTTAATTTTATATACATGATACTTCGTCTTTTGCAAAAAATAAAACTTGTCAATTATTAAAATCTTATAGATTTTGAATAGTAATTGTTTTCTGAGATTTCCGATTTGATTTCAACTAATATCTCAAAATACACTTTTAGAATATGAACTCGACATTCATATTCTGATTCCTGGTTTTGGACGGAATTTCAGATGAAATCTCTAATTATAAACTATCAAAGAATATGTTTCAAATCAAAATACAACTTGAAATCTCATGTAAGATTGCATTTGGCGATTTTGAATACACGTATTATGTACATAGTATAGTACTAAATTTAATGAAATAAGATCTTGATTCATTTTGCTTACACTTAATGATTTTATCGACTCAATATTATTCATGAGTAGTAGTCACACTGTAATTACTATATATAAGCATATACATTTTACTGAAAATTAAAAAAATGTTTCATCTTTAAGTGATTCTTACAAAAAAAAACTTGAAAATATTATATAAAATGAACTGTAGCTATATTTTTAACATTTATTTTTAAATGTAATTACGAAAAAAAAAGAATTTTATTAACCATTAACTACCTATATATATTTTTTATGAACTATTGTAGAAGCAAAGTATAGAGAGAAAAATCACTAATGTCTCGTGTATGTTTATTTTAATTTGACAACATGAAATTGTGTTCATATATATTGTAAGTATCACAAATAATAAGGAAAAAATACTTGTTTTTATGATAAAAAAATAAGACCTAGATTATAATAGCAAAATATATTCAATATACATATATAAATGTTGCAAACAATTGCTAGAACTTTTATCTACGATGTCATAGATTATTCCTTTATGGTTCCTGACAGACCATTGTGGAATATATAATTTAAAATCACATAGAGTTTTTCACCTTGATTATCATAATAATCAATTTGCTATAAAATAATGAATTATTGATAGTTCTGTTTGGTAAAATGTTCATTTAAAAGCTCTATATAACCTCCATGCACTAATGCCCATAGCTAAAACAGATATACTAGTATGTAAAATCCTTCTTCTAGTATCATCTTTTCTAACTAGAAATGTAGGTGAAGATGGACCTAGAACTGCAAGTACTTCAACATGGGGTAGCTTGCTGGTATCAGTTTCTACTTGATATTGGCAGCATGGATCAAATTGCCAAGAAACTGTGTATAAACCACAACAGATTAGTGCTGTTACTCCAAAAGGACTACATATAAATGGCCGGTCACTCCACAGTAGGCCTTGCAAAATATTTATTGATAAGATATGATACTAATGTTTTATATCTTATGATTATCAATACATAAATAAGTATATACCTGTCACAATTGCAGTCACACCTGAAAGTGCAGCGGTTTTGTGTAAACAATTACCAACTGAAATCCATCGTGATGTTTCATCTCCTAATTTTGATGGTTCTATAACAATTAATTGACATTCAGATTCTAAAGCTCTCTCCAATTCATATTCAAAATTTTCTTGAGCATTTTCTCCATCATATACTTCTCTTATTATTGCAACTTTTTTAGAGTCTTCACTGTAAACAATTTAAAAATAATAAACATTTGTTCTTATATTTTTTACTTATATAATATATTTATTATTAATATTAACAGTAGAAAGTATATCAAATATAACAAAGCCACTTAACATTGAATCATTACAGGGTGGTCCACAATTAAAATTGTTTATATTATTAATACCAATTCTATTATTTGAAAAAATATGTATTATATTTGACATATTAATGAGCAGATAATATTATTATTACTTTAGTGTTGAAAACTTGTTTCTTTTTTTAGTAATAGTAATGGGCATTTGAAAATATATAATGTTATAAAATGTGAAAAATTACATCTTAGATACAATAATAATAATATAAATTTTTGATATTATTTGATATAGATTACATTTCAATTATACGGAATTTATAACCATGAAAAAGTATACGTACCTGTCATTAGTTTCATTTACCATTTTTCTGACTGATCGTAAAAAATATGAGCAACAATGTCGTGACGGAAAGCTCACAAAAATTTGCTGCCAGATAAAATATACAGCAATGAATTTGGTAACTAATAATTTACAAATATTGTATAGGATGAAATAGCTAAAAAGATTTAACAATGCTGTTTTCAGAACTATTTACGAAATATTTTTTATAGAATCGTAGATCATAGAACATATATCACCGATGCGAAGACAGCCCGACACAAATAACATTTTATAAAAAAAAAATGATCACATCTCACGTATGTCTAATTGTACTTCTCGAAAAAATAATTATTTGTTATTGTACTATTATATTTCTGAGAAAAAATAAAAAATATCGTTATCGATAACTCACCTCCTTTTTATTCACATAAAAGACATAATTAAGCAAAAATAAATTCACAGAAAAATTGTATCTTCTGTAGTCTAAATTGTACCATCAGTACAATTCTATAAATTTGTTTCTAAAAGAAATAATAGGATAATTACAAATTACCACTAATTGTTACAACTTACAAGGATGTCATCCGGAAATGCACTTTGCGCAGGCGTAGAGCTTTATAATTGTCCTATTATTTCTTTTAGAAACAAATTTATAGGACTGTACTGATGGTACAATTTAGACTACAGGAGGTACAATTTTTCTGTGAATTTATTTTTGCTTAATTATGTCTTTTATGTGAATAAATAGGAGGTGAATTATCAATAACGATATTTTTTATTTTTTATGAGAAATATAATGGTACAATAACAAATAATTATTTTTTCGAGAAGTACAATTATACATACGTGAGATGTGATCATTTTTTTTATAAAATGTTATTTGTGTCGGGCTGTTTTCGCATTGGTACATATTGTTACGTCTCGTGCATCAACTACGAATAGCTAATGAATGAGACGATCCAATATGTTGACTAGTGGTTGGATATGTCTCACTTATTATAAATGTATGTGGAAATGTATGTCTGATAATTGCACTACCTTGATAATCGTAGCTTTTAATTGTTGATAAAATGTAGCAAGCTCTAACTGCTTGTTGAATTGTATGAATGTAGCAGGCTCTAACTGCTTATTGAATTGTTTAAATGTAGCAGGCTCTAACTGCTTGTTGAATTGTTTTGGGTAGGTTGTTGAATAATTACTTGCACGATATTACTTTGTAACAGTCGCGAGTTTATTAAGTAAAATGATCACCAATTGTCGGATCGGTGTGTACGGAGTTGAGTCTTACAGGTACTTATTGACTGACTGACGGACTACTGATCAACTGCCGAGAGTAATTTGTTCATTCCTTTTTATATCTTTTATAGCTCTTTTTCAGGTCAGTATTGCGATATGGTGTGACATTTTGTTTTTGCTGAATATAAATTTTACGTTTGGTGACTTTATTTAGGCGTGTCATTTACCTCGTGTTTCGTTAGCTTTTTGCTGACGTGCGAATATTTTAACAGTTTTGAATTTCATGAATGTGCATTTGTTACAAAAAAGGATGCGTCGTAAGACGTAACAATACTATATATCCTAGATCCCGGATATTTTTAATTTAATAACCATTAGAAAGCCTTATAAATTACCAGCCAAAATAAACATTTCGGATATTTTTCGAATCAGCTATACTATTAGATTAGGCTTCTCTCAAATAATAAAAAATATGTTTGTGCGTCATTAACTTATTGCTGAAAACAGTAAAAAAAATTTTGGTAGCTAGAATTCGGAGCTCAAATTTATTCTTTCGAAAAAATTTATTTCAATTGTTTCATTCAGTTATTTCAGTTAACCAAAATTAACATGGAAATCATTTAATTCAGTAGGTGCCACATACACTAACGTAAGCCCTCATATAATCTGTTACAGCGTAACTTACACTCGTGGCGCTTGTTCAATCTTGACGATGAGTAGTTCTGCACCCGTTAGATGGCGACATGTGGGGCTTCCGGCTATCTCGATGATAGAGGCGGAGTGAGTTACGACGCGGTGTGGATCGAGTACCTCATTAAACTTTCATTTTTAACTAATGCATAGGCGTAAGTTATTGCTGTGTATTCCCTGAGAAGTAGTTTGATTTTATTAACTCGTACAACCTAAGTTTCTACGTTTTTTCTCTTTTTTTTCAACTTGATATAAACGCCGGGTCCTCCCGGCCGTTTCATAACCTCTTCTGAGCGAAATTCATTTATCAGCCCCCGCCTTCGGGCGGTTTGAGTTTTAAGAAATGAATGAAGATAGAAAAAATTTATCTGAACCCATGGAATTTGAAGACTCAAAGAACAGAAAAAGGTCCAGGGGAGGATCAGATTACACTGACGACCCAACCATGAAGAATAAGATTCCCGCCACGAGATCATATACAGCTAACCAAGATGACATCACTACAAAATCAGACAAAGCATCTGAATTCTTCAAACCAGACAATCAAAGCCCTTTTGGAGTATGGATAAAGAGGAAAATCGAAAGCAAAGAAGGTCTAAGTGCTTTCAAAGTTGGCAGCGTTATTTTTAAAAAATATAAAAAATTATTGACATTAAAAACAGAGGTAGATTTAAAGTTGAAATCCTCTTTTCAAAAAGGGAAGAGGCTAATAAAATACTCACGGATAAATCTCTTGAAACTCACAATATGGAAACATTTATACCAGGCTATAGAAAATTTAGAAAATGCGTAATTAGAAATGTGCCTCTTGATTTACAGGAAGAAGATATCAAAGAAGCTATTGTATCACCAGTCGGTATTACAGAAGTGAAAAGATAATGTAGGAGGAATAGGAACGCCAGTGGCTCTGATGATAAGTGGATAAAAACCCAAACTATTGTGGTGACCTTCTCTGGTCAAATCTTGCCAAAAGATATAGTTCTATACTACGTAAAAGCTTCTGTTGAGCCTTACGTACAAAAACCAAGACAATGCTATAACTGTTTGAAATTCGGACATGTTGCAAATACTTGCAAAGGTAAGAAACGCTGTATAATGTGTGGTCTTGAAGAACACGAAACTGACACTGATAATGGCAGATGCCCCAAAGACATTCCGTCGTGCTCCAATTGTAGCGGGCCTCACAAAAGCATAGATTCTACCTGCCCTGTCTATCAGAAATATTTAAGAATCAATGTTCTAATGGCACATGATAATATTTCATTTTCAGAAGCAAGCAAGATTATTACACCTCTTATTCAAATCCCTCCTAGATCCAAAGAGCATTACCCAAATATTAGAAGCAGACATCAAGATACGCTCAACAATATTGTTAAAGAACAAAGTCCAGTTAATAGTAAAAATACAACAGAAGTAGTATTAGATAACACGTTGCACATTGAAGACACTCAATCACAGATCTGCTCGCTTGATTTTCAAGACTCTTGTAATAAAACTACATCTCAAATAACCAATTCAAAACATTTTGGTGGAAGAAACTCTTCAAATACTTCAAATTCATTCAATTCATTCTACAATGTCGTTTCAGAATCTACCGAGTCAAATAAGAAAGAGCTAACGCCGTGCACATCGCTGTCACCAAAGACACCTTCGTCGTCATCCCCACAGCCGCAGAAGCTACAACAGAACTCGCCCAAGATGAATTCATCAAATTCGTCACTTCAATCTACAATTAATAAATTAACATCTAGATCGTCTATTTCTAATCAAAGTAACTCTACACGTAAGTCGTATACTAACCGCAAAAAATAGTAAATCTGCTTTTATATAGATACTTACAAAACTATCTTTAATATTTATTGTTTCAAGAATTTCAATTCTTAATAATGGATTCTCAAAATTTAAAAATTCTACAATGGAATAGTAGAAGCATTAATAATAAGCTAGCTTTATACAAATATGCAGCAGATTATGATATCATAACAATTTGTGAATCTTGGTTGAAACCGGAAAAAAAATTTACTATTAATAATTTTAACACGTTGCGTTTTGATAGAATAATAGATAAAGAAGGTGGTATAATCTTTTTTATTAGAAAAGGTATTACATATCAAAAAGTTGCTCTTAACTTTAACTCAAATAGCCTAGAAACAGGCGCTATTGTTGTCAACTGTCATTTGGGTGATTTACTGATTGTCTCTAGTTATAGATCCCCCTCGGGAAACAATATCATTAAAAAAGATGAATGGTTGTCATTTACGAACGAAATAAATAATTATAACTACTTTATTGTAGTAGGCGACTTTAATTCACATCACCCATTATGGGGAAGTGATTCATACTGCTCGAGTGGGAATACTATTTTTGACTTTACCAACTTTGACGATTTTTTTCTCTTAAATGATAAAAAACCAACTCACATTAAAATTTCAGATTCAGGGCATTCCTACTCTAATATAGACTTAACATTTGTTTCAATTAATTTGGCCTTTTCAACAAATTGGTCGGTTTTACCAGATACATGGGGTAGTGACCACTTCCCCATCGTTACTACCTTGAATTTAAGCATTAAAGAAACTCAAAGAAATGATTATCGCATTAACCTTAAAAAAATCAATTTTGAAACTTTCTTCAAAATACTTGACCAAGAGAAATCTATATTCAATAATATCCCTTTTATTAACTCTCCGGTTACGGAAAGGTACAAAACGCTTTTGGAATTTATTTACACTGCCTTAAATGATTCTGATACAAGAAAAAAGAAAATGATAAATATGAGTAGCAAAAATTTTAAAAATAATAAAAAGAAAAAGAGAAACGCCATTTGGTGGAATGAAAAATGTGATAGAATAGATAGAAGAAGAAATGCATCTTTTAGATCAATTCAATACCGTTGTAACCTAGACTCTTTTATTAAACACAAACAGTTGGAAGCGTTAACCATTAAAATTCTTAGAGAAGAAAAAAAAACTCTTTTCAAAATTTCTGTCCATCAATTAACCACAATACTAAGATTTCCGATATATGGAAAAAAGTCAAAGCTTTCAAAAACGGTATGGATAGACCTATATCTTTAAACGGAAATCTTTCAACACTTCTCAATGCCTCAGAATGCTTAGTCGAATTATGTGTACCAAAGGATATTAATCTTTGCCCCGCTAATAATATTTTCGAATTTATCGAATCAAAATACCTTAATGACAATACTGACCATTTCATGGACCAACTTTTCTCCTTTGAAGAGTTGGATTCAGCCCTTAATTCAATCAATATTAAATCCGCTCCAGGTTCGGATAAAATCAGCTATGAACTCCTAAAAAACCTCCCA